CTCTCGCCCCTCCCTCTCCCTCCGCTCCGCCCTTTCTCCCTCGGGGCTCAGTCGCCCGCGGTCTTTCTGCGCTCAGCCAGCGGCCCGGGGGCCGAGGGTCATGGGCGGCCTCTTGGGGCGCGCGGCGCTGCCGGGGCTGCTGAGCGGCCCGCGGGCCCCGGGCCCGAGCCTGCTCGCACGCCCGAGCTCGGGTGAGTGGCCCGCGACCGGCGGAGGAGGGAAGCGGGCGGGGGGGCGTAGCCCGGCCTTTGTTGGCGCGCGTGCGACCCCGTGGCTGCCTGATTCTGTAGATGGCCTCGGGTTCTCGCCGGGCGGGCCGGGGGCGCCCTGCACGTCGTTCCCCACGTCTCACTGCGCCCCTCTCCGATCCGCCCACCGTCCCAGGTTGCTCGGGGGCAGGGGGCCCCAGAGGGCTCCAGAGCAGGAGGCCTGGTGGCCACAGTAGACAGTGGTGAGGGTCCCAGCGGACTGGGGCTGCTGCTGGTGGGGGGGAACATTTGGAGTAGATGAACACTCCTCACGGGGCCGCCGCCCTCGGGGTGTTTTCTCCAGGCCTTAACTCCGTCTGGTCCATCCACGTCTGGGGTCCTAGGGCCCGTATCTGTAGCTGGTTCTCGCCCTGACGGCGGCACACAGGGCGCTCCCTGAGAGCCAGATGTCTTGGTGTTCCCAGCGCAGGAGGGAGTGAACTATCTTCCGAGGGACAGGCCAGCTGGCAGGAGGCCAGGCTGTACGGAGAGCCCCTAGGCACTGGGCTTTAGGGGCACAAACCAGGCCCCGGGGGCTTCCTGCGCTGGGCTTCGTTCAGCCCTGAAGTGGTGGGCGCCCACAGCCTGCTGGCCAGGCCCAGCGCATCTTATGGGGTTGGGAAAGGGCAGCTGCAGACACCCCCGGGGACACTGGCCTGCCCTGGCTCTATCATTTGTCTTCCAGTTCTGCTCTCCCCCTGAGCAGGACTTGGCAGGACATCCAGGGTGTAGGGCTCCTCTCAAAAGCACATTTGGCCCTGGACCCAGGGCTGAGGGTCGGTGTAACTCTGTGGCCTGGGGCTATAAGGGGTGGTGGTGCCTCCTGTCTTGCTGGCAGTGTCCCCTAGAGGACAGAAGGAGTGGGCCAGGGCTCAGTCCTGTACTTGGGTCTGGAAGCCGCTTGCCTCGAGCAGCACAGAGCTCCTCTGGCCAAGGAGGTTTTAAGTGGAGGAGCCCTCTAGAGTCTCCCCACCTGCAGACAGGAGCCCCTCTACCGGGCTTCTCAGTCCCTAGCTCCCTTGTGTCCTGCTGTGTGTGGCCCACCTGGGGGGGGAGTGCACCGCACTACTCCCTAGCTCCCTGCTGTTCCTTCACCTCAGACCCACAAGATGAGCTTTGGGTCCTCCCTCATGGGGCAGGCTGGGAGTTCAGACGGCTAGGACAGGAGTGGAAAGCAAGGCCAACAACATGCTCTCTTTCCAGTGTGGCCTCTTTGGGCCTCTGTGTGGCCACTGAGCCCAGCTGTGCCTCCCCAGCTCTTGAAGATGCCTTCTCAGGGACATTGGATCCATCATGGGAGGAGCCATGGCCCCTCCTGACAGACTGGATGCACCAGGGGGCCCACTACCCTGTTGGTCCCTGAAAGGCAGAGTCATGCTGGGCCTTTGTTGGCTGTGGACCCTGCACTTCTCCCCTCCACGGCTGCTCTGGTGACCCCTGGGCTGTGGCAGGGGCATCCAGGTTCAGGGAGACGTGAAAGGGCGAGGCACCTGATTCCCCTTCTTCTAAAGGAGGGTCCTCCTGGACCCGGGAGCGGACCCTGGTTGCAGTGAAGCCAGATGGGGTGCAGCGGCGGCTTGTTGGGGATGTGATCCAGCGCTTTGAGAGGAGGGGCTTCAAGCTGGTGGGGATGAAGATGCTGCAGGTACCTGGGCTCAAGGACCCGTGGGTGTCCTTGAAGGGACTGGGGGTGGGGGGCTTCTCATGGACCTCAGCCCTTCATATCTTAGCCCTGTATCAGGAGGAGTATCCTGGTGTTGGCAGTAGAAGGAGGGGAGGGGAGGTATCAGCTGGTGTGCGAGCCCATGTAGGTGTTACTTGCCAAGTGCCCTGAGGTCAGGACAACATGATCACTGCCCCAGTGTCCAGTGGCTCCTCTCACCCCTTGCCCCAATGCCACCCAGGTGCCAGAGAGAGTCCTTGCTGAGCACTACCATGACCTGCAGAGGAAGCCCTTCTACCCAGCCCTCATCAGCTACATGACCTCCGGCCCCGTGGTGGCCATGGTACGGCAGGCAGGGGCGGTGGAAAGGGTGGAGGGCCCCGGGCTGAGCCCAGAGCTGCTGAGTCCTTGGTGATCCCCACCTCTCCCAACCTCTTTTATCTCTGTGCTGCAGGTCTGGGAAGGCCCCAACGTGGTCTGCTCCTCAAGGGCCATGGTAGGACACACCAACTCAGCTGAGGCTGCCCCTGGCACCATCAGGGGGGACTTCAGCGTCCACATCAGCAGGTCTGGGGGCCCTGACACACTCAAGCCACTGGAGCTGATGGGCCAGCTCATTAGGGTTGAGGAAGGTCTGAGTGTGGGGTGGTAGGCTGCTCCTAAGGCAGACCCATGGGACCTGGGCATCTCGCTAGGCCACAGTAAAGCCACAAGAGATTTTCCATGCTGGGATGTCACACACAGGAGGTGATAAAGCATTCTCTATGCATTGTGTGTGTACTCTTCCATCATTTCCTATTACCTGACTCTGTCTTGCCAGACACCCTGAGGGGTTGGCATGGGACAACTGGTGGGAACATGAGGCTCCCAGAAATGGTCTGGGTTGGTCATGAGGTTGTGGGTAAGAGGCCAAGATCAGGCTGGAACCAGTCTTCCAGTCCTGTTCTTGCTTTCTCCTCTGCTCAATGCCGGGCTTGCTCTTCTTGACGGTGGGGGATTAGCAGATAGTTCCTGGGACCCCCAAGGTGCACACTGAAGTCTGTGCCTTACCTTTGCTGCCTATCATTTGGCACAGGAACATCATCCATGCCAGCGACTCCGTGGAGGGGGCCCAGAGGGAGATCCAGCTATGGTTTCAGAGCAGTGAGCTGGTAGACTGGGCAGACGAAGGCCACCAGAGAAGCATCTACCCACCCTGAGCACTCAGGCTGCCCTCAGCCACCCCAGCAGCCACCCAGGATCAACTACCTCTGTCGTCCAGAACTTGAGCCCACACCCATGGTCTGCCCTTCTGTCCCAGACCACCTCCCTGTCTACCTTCTGCCCCACCCCAGCCCAGAGGGGTTGAGCAACCAACTTTATGTGCCTTTTAGTATCCTAAGCCAGTAAGAAATCGGACCAAATCCTTTCTGTACCAAAGTGCCAGATAACCTTTGCGGCGTCTCCAAAAGTGTGTAGTGTAACCTCCCTTCCCCCAAAGGGGGGTGGGACATTAAAATTTGCTGTGTTGTGTAGGGGGGTGGATCGTTTATTACAGTTTCTGCCATCTCTGAGGTAGGACTTTATGCAAAGTTGTAAGAGTTTGAGAGTAGAAATAAAGCTTACTCTCACACACCAGTAGGGGATCGAAACTTTGTTGAATGTATCAGACAGGCAGTGGTCCAAAGACCTACAGCCCAAAATGTGGGAGAATCCAAGCTGAGTCCCGGAGCTGGTGCTGCTTCAGCCCCCATTCATCTGATCATGCTGCATGAGGAGCTGCCTGCCTTGGGCAGGACTTGAGAGTGGCAAAAAGGGGTGATTATGGGGCCTGCTAAAACCACCCCTGGGGCAGAAGGCCTTTCATGGCCTCATATGGTGGAGACTGACTGGAGCTGCCTGTGTCTACTTGTTTTCACGTTGGCACTATACACATCACACCTCACCCCAGTCCTCAGATGTGTCCCTGGTCACTTGTCACGGGTACTGTACATTGCATATCATGACACCTGCTGCAGCTGCCTTGGTCCTCACTTACTCTACTTTTTGACATCTTTAAGATTGTTTATTTATTTATTTATTTGACGGAGAGATAGTGAGAGCAGGAACACAAGCAGGTGGAGTGGGAGAGGGAGAAGCAGGCTTCCTGCTGAGCAGTGAGCCCGATGCAGGGCTCCATCCCAGGACCCTGGGATCATGACCTGAGCGGAAGGCAGACGCTTAACAACTGAGCCACCCAGGCGCCACCTTTTTGACATCTTTATAAATGATGCCCTGATCCTGGATTCACAGCACCTGTTGCTACATGTGCCTCCACGTGATGGCACCGATGAAGTGCCCTGACTTTCTTAATCGGTCATCAAACAGGTCATTTTAGGAATTGGCACTGGGGTTGGCCGCGTGAGGGGAAAGCTTTTCTTAGGGAACCCCCTCTCCCGCCTCATGAGCCTGCGCGCGCCGCGGCCGAACTCCAGTCCCAGGAGGCGGCGCGGCAGCGGTGAACAGAAAATCCTAGGAGGAGCTAGGGCTGCTATGGGCGTCACTGGAGGAACTGGAGGGGGCTGTGGGCGGGGCGTCCAGGGAAGAACAAGAGGCAGCTGTGGGCGGGGTTCGTGGGGCGGTCGGGTGCCGTGGGCGGGGCGTCCTGGGAGGGACCAAGAGGAAGCTGTGGGCGGGGCTAGCGGGGCGTCCTGGGCGGAACCAGGAGACCTCTGTGGGCGGGGCGTGCTGGGAGGAACAGGAGGCAGCTGTGGGAGGGGCTAGCGGGGCGTCCTGGGAGGAACCAGGAGACCGCTGTGGGCAGGGCGTGATGGGAGGAACAGGAGGCGGGTGTGGGCGGGGCTAGCGGGGTGACCTGGGAGGAACCAGGGGACCTCTGTGGGCGGGGCGTGCTGGGAGGAACAGGAGGCAGCTGTGGGAGGGGCTAGCGGGGCGTCCTGGGAGGAACCAGGAGACCGCTGTGGGCGGGGCTGGCGGGGCGTCCTGGGCGGAAGAGGAGGTGGCTGTGGGCGGGGCTAGCGGGGCGCTCGGACGCCGGGGACCGGCCGGCTGGATCTCGGTCCTCCCCAGTTGTAGGGCGCTGACGGCTTGAGAGCGCGGCGGGTCTCGGAGGCCCCGCTGCTGCCGGATCCGGGCAGGTCCCTACTGTCCTCGCCGCCCCCGGCCCGCACCGAGAGCCATGGCCCAGCCGCCGCCCGACGTCAGTGAGGACGAGTGTCTCCCTGAGTACCGCCATCTCTTCTGCCCCGACCTGCTCTGGTGAGGGCCGAGTTGGGGGCTCCCGAGGCGGGGGCTGCTGCCTCTGCAGAAGTGGCTCGGGAACTGCGGTTTTTTTTGTTTTT